ATTTGGGTTTGAGAGAGGAAGAAGGGAGAAGGGAGAAGGGAGAGAGAAAGAATAAGAAGAAGAAAGAAGAAGGATGAGCAGGGAAGAGGAAAAGAGGAAGAAGATGAAGATTAAGAGAACCCAGATCTGGCTTTGCAGATGTATGGGAAAAGGTAAGGCAAAGCAAAGAGAAAGTGAAAGATGAAGACGAGATGACGTGGATGGAAAAAAATTATTATTTTTAATTTAAAAAATGCCAACTCATAAAAAAAATGACAACTATGTTTTTTCTTTTCCATGTCATTAGTTAAGCAAAAAAAAAAATGATTTGTTGGCAAGTTAACGTGACATCTGTCATTTAACTGACGGAAGGACCATTTTGGTACCAAAAATGAAAGTTCAAGGATAATTTTGGTACTTTTTAAAGGTGAGGGACAATTTTGGTACCAAAGTGTAAAGTTGAGGGACCAAAATGGTACTTAAACCTACTTCTTCCATACCAAGGTTATTTTTTCTTGGACATTGATAGCTTATAGGACCATCTTCACCACACTTAAAGCAAGTTGCACCCTTATTGCCCTTGTTATGGGTAGTACTAACTTTTCCTTTTTTAGCATAAGGGCTTTGTTTGTTAAAGGCACCTATAGCTTGTGATTGCATAGCATGTTTTGCATCATAATATTTTCTTGTTACTACTTCCTTGGTTTGGAACCTAATTTTCTTACTATTCTAATTGTTTATATATTCTTCTGCATTGAGTTTTGCTTGGAATACATCTTCAACATTATATATAGGTTGTTTGAGCAGTTCATTTTTAATTTCAGCTTTTAGATTAACTCTAAATCAAGATGCAGCTTGTGTAGTATCCTCAACAACTTGATTATGAATGTTTAGTTCATAAAAACTTTGCATATATTCTGCTACCTTATCACACATCTTTTCTAGATAGTTTTGTGGCATATACTTTTCTCTTAATTTTGCTTTCATCTCTAGCCAATTAGTTATTGGTGGTTGTCCTAGTTGAAATATTCCTCCATTGAATTAATCCAATTAGAAAGCACAATAGAATCAACCGTTCCTTCAAAATGTGAAACTTAATCTTTATTTACTTGGTAGTGTCACCTGTTGTATCTTGTGCCCTTCTTTGACCTTTCCTATTCCAAAGTGCTACTATTATTTGGAGGATTTCTCCTTGGACATTATCTAATTTCTTTGTCACAATTTTCTTTGTCTTGGAATCACATTCAGCTTCAAGTGGATCCAATCATTGTTGTAGTTTATTAATTAAGACATGGATTTCCTCCACATTAGAATTTAGGTTTGTAACTTATGAGTTTGTAACTTATGAGTTTAGTTCAGTGTTTGATGCCATATTTTTGGAAGAAAATTCAATAACAAAGTTGTAGGATCTTTGCTCTAATACCAACTCACATGGGACATGTTAGTGATTTAGTGGGCTTGAGAATTCAAGACTTACTTAAAGGTCAAAGGCTACTATTAGCCGTTTACCTCAATAAGTCTATATATTTTAGCCCTTCACTTTATACATTGAGATTTTTAGCCCTTCAACTTCAAAAGTTTAAAGGAAATAACCCTTCTATTAAATATTGGTTAAACATAAAAAGGTATATTTGCAATTGAGTCCTTAAAGTAAACAATTCCAAACTGACTCTTTGGGATACAAATATTAATTGTTGTTAGTTAGATCCTAAATCAAAAGAATTTAAGCATAGCAATCATAGTAGTTCTAAGGAGATTGAAGGAGTAGTAAACTTTGTTGTACATTTATTATATCATGTATCTACGAAAGTAGAAAAAATAGAGAACTTATTAGATGCGTTTACTAAAATTGGAAAATTAGATTTAAATGAAGAAAGTAAGATATTGCTAAAATCTTTAGAAGAAAATCTTAAACTATGATAGAAAAAGAAGTCCAAGTAGATAAAAAAAACATCAGATGTGGATGTTTGACTAGAGAAAGTTTAAGTAAAATCCACATGAGCATCTAAAACCATAGGAGAAAGTATCACTAAAGAAGAAAACCTTGAGAGTTCGAAAAAGGTTGAAAATGTTGAAGATATGGTATATTGGGAACATAAATTGCAGGAGTTAGAATTCCCTATGGAAAATGTAAAAATGACAAAAAGGGAAGAAGGAAACATTTTTGAAGGAGATGGACCTTCAGGCAAAAAAGAAGAAAAAGGGGATATAAATGATGATGAAGTAATGAATCAATATGCTGAAGCATATAAGGACTATTTAAAGAAAGAAAAAGAAAAGTCTAGGAAAGTACCCCCACCTCCTAAGTTTGTGGAAGAAATATTAGTAGCAATGATCAAAATTTTACCTATATGAGAGAAACAAAGCTTGGAAAGATAAAAGGAACAATATGAGAAAATATAGGAGTTTTGCTACACATGAATTCCTACCTATATTAGATAGAAAAATGCAAGCAGTTTCGACTATAGGTGTATACTTAGATATAGACTGTGTCATCGATCCAAACTAGTGTTTTTGGGCCCGGCTTGATAGTTGACTTGGTTTAGCCACTAGGTCTGGTTGAACCAATTGAATCAGTTCACTCGACTAATCCAATCGATCAACTTGAAAAATAGTTTTTTTTTTAAACATATTTATTAGATTTTACTATTGTATATTACTTTTATTTTATTCTTAAAAAATAGTTATCATAAGATCAACTTGAAAATCATCATTTAGACCATTTAAAATAATAAATTTAATTAAATACATATAATTTTTAAGATCTAAACTAATAAATATTAAAATACATAATATAAGATAAATTCATCAAGTATGATAATAAGAAAAAACTCAATCTTAAACTAAATTTATTACAAAATAAGTTTTGAATATAAAAAAAGTTTCAAATCAAATCCACAATAAAGACAAATGTCAAATAGATGAAGTATCATTAGTAATTCATTTATTTTGACCTAAATGGGGAGCATTTTCATCAAAGTAAGTATGTAGTTTTCATAAGTTATGCTCACTATCATTATCTCAAATTCATTACCAATTGTTAAATCACTAAATTTTATAATCTTTATTGCTAATATTTCAATTTTTTTAATTTATTCATAATTAAAAGTTGAATGTAATAATTAATAATTTTCAAAAATTAAATAAAAATTTTAATTTAAATCTTTTCACATCAAACAATTTCTATAAAAAATAAAAAGAAAAATGAAAGAACAATATCATTAAATCAAAATTCAATTAATATTTAAACACTTAAATTTTTGAATCTTATCCAATCATTATCATTATTATTTATGATTTTATTAAACAAACAATTTAAAATCTTAAAAATAAAAGCTTAATTTAATTTAGTAATATAATTCATAATTTGAGTTTAAATGTATTTACTTTAATTTTGTTATCTTATTTTTAAAATTAACTAATTTATAAATTTTATTTTATGAAAATATTTTTCTAACATGTTCTTTTATATTTAATGTGCTTTTTAATAATTAATTTTTATAAAAAATGTGAAAATAAGATGTATTTTTTAACATTAATACCACTTAAATGATTTTAAATTTCAAATTAACTTTTATTTTTTATATAAATTAATTATAAAATAATTGATATTTTTTTAACATTATGATGTATTCTTTAAGATATAATTTAGAAAAAAAAAATTCTGTTCCACTGTTTTGCAACCGGGGTTGCGGTGAATAAAATATATATATATGAATGAGAATAGTAACCACCAATTTTATCTCTTAAAAATTATAAAAATGTTTCAATAAATATCTATTAAAAAAATTAAAATATTTTATTTTTAAAGTCCGTATTAAGATTTTTTTTTTTCTTAACTTTTTAAAAATAAAGCAAGAAACACTAACGCCTACGTGTGTGTGTGTGTATATATATATATATATATATATATAAATTCAG